TTAAGATGATTAGGACTGTAAATTTTCAGTTCTCATTAACATTATTTTATCTCATTAGGGAGGAAATTCTAATAAAATTGTTAAAAAAACCCATTAATACTATTGTTCCACATTCAATTTAAAACAAAAAATGACCACGAGTATGACTTCCTGATTTTGTCAGCCATGTATTTTTCCCTAATGGTATTTGGCCTTCACTGGAGTAAGCTCCTAGTCCACTTCCTTTTTATAGTGTTTATGCTGATGTAGAACTAGAAGAAAAACTTGATTTTCATAGAAATTGCCATTCTAGGCAAACAGAAAAAATACTGCACTTGCAAATTTCACAAACTGGATGTTTTGATTAAACAGAATCTCACAATTATAATTTGCAGAAATACTCTTATTGAGTATAATCACATTTAAGGTATGACAATCAGATTTTTACCTTGTTCCTACAATACTCATAAATCAAAATACCACTCTTTAAAATTTATTTTTATTGAAGGATATATAACTGGGTAGTCTTAAGATGAGTCATCTTTTGCTTCTATAGCTGTCATGGAAACTGGCAAGATAGAATAATTACGAAAAATTGTGAAGTGTAGCAGGATCTTAAAATTATATACATGATCTTTATTCTTGTAGAATAGTTGTTCTTAATAAGAACTTACCATTAGTGAATTTAGCCTTTGCAAAAAGAGAGACACACATTAGTGCACCTTATTGATCTGTAACTTTAGCAGACTCAAAGTATCACTTCAAGTGCATATTCATTTTCCGTAATATATGCTGATTTATCTTAGGATCTTGAGTACTCTCAGTAACTCCTGACTGCTGCAACACTCCTGTTGTAACAAAGTTTTGGGGGAGTTTATGCCTAATTCAGAAAACTGAAATTAACTGTTGCAATTACCTGGAAAAAGAGTATAGCAGAGTGCCCTAAATTCTATAGGGTTGTTCCCACTTTAAAGCTGACTTGCAGCTGACTTATTCCTGAGGTTGAATGCATGTGAATATGGTTCTAGTGCCTAGATGGATCTGTGGCTTATTGTCTTTTCCCCGAGGATTTTGGTGCCTCCTGTGGAGAAATAAAAACGGTAGTGATCTAAGCAGTGGCTTCAGCATAAACTCCACTATATGTCATTAATTGTAGTGAAGTTATCTAAATCTTAGTTCTTTGATTAAATGCCTGATAGTTGGGTATAAAATGCCAAGCTTGAAGGTGCATGGGACTACTGTAGGGGTTCACTGGTTCACTTTGAAAATTCTGTTAAACTGATTTTATACTCTTACCATTGCAATTCAGCAGTCAATTTTCTTTGTGTTTTTTTCCTCTCTATTTTTGTCTCTATTTTAAATAATATTTTTCTTAAAAAGCAGCATATGACTTCTAAAAGGGGACTGGGGCTTTTTATTTTTAGTAAGGCTTTCAGAATCACAGGCCATACTTTTAGTAACTGCACATAATAGGTAGGACTGTAAATTTTAAAAAAAGATAGCTCCTCAAAATATATATTAAAAAAAGGCATGATGGGAAAATCGCCATTACAGGCTTTGAAATGTTACAGTCAATCTCTTTGGACAGTGTGAAGAGATTTAAGAGCACGAATTGCTTAACTGCAAAAGCGGGGAAGAGAACAACTAAAACCACCACCAAAAAACCCAAGCTTCCCTGGCTGTATTTTTGTTTTTCAAACTAAAAAATTAGTTTGTATTAATCTTAACCTGGAAAAAAACACTGCTTAGATTTAATTCTTTGCTGTATTCAGAAAAGGCTTTGCAACAGTAGTTATGCTATGCGAAGTAGAACTATAGTGAGGGTGGGAACACACTGAAAAACATTTATCAATTTGAAAATAAATAAAATAAACCCTGCTTACCCATATGTAATGAAAATTAACAAAGCAAGCTATCTTGTTTCCTAGCAATTTGCTGTGTGGATATTTGTTCTTTTTTATACATTGTCATTAATTTTTTCTGTATTTTTGTAACTCTGATTCCTAACAATTTCAAGAATTTTAGTGTAAACTTCAAGATCTTTAATTCATGGCTTGCTCATTTATTTACAGTATAATGTAGAATTCCTGGCTACTGCTATCTGCTAAGTAAAGGGTTGGCATTCATAGTTGTTTGAAAACATGCTTTTTTGTTGTTGTTATTGATCAACTTTACTTGGAATTCAGTTTTGAAGGATGGATTTCAAATACTACTTTTATTAAGTGTAGCTATCTTTCTGATTCTTAAAATGCACTTCTGAAAAGGAGAGCTTTGGAATCAATAGAGTAGAAGTTTCAAATGCTCATTAATGAAGGGCTGTTACTTCTGCCTCACTCTTCCACATGTAATTAATAGCTTGCAGATGCTCTCACTAAAGCTGATAATCTAGAAGAATTATTGGAGAATGGAATGGGGGAAAATAAGTTTCTGATTGTGTGTTTCATGGTCATTCTGCGCCTGTGGTGAAAAAACTACTCGTTTCATCGGCTTAGTTTTAGGATACTTTCTATTAAATGATAACATTCGTGTTGAATCCACTCAGTGCTAAAAACAGAGCCTTTCTAGTCAGTGGTATTCAATTTTTTATATTCTGCCAACACTTCTTTTTTCAGCCTAGGAAAGAATATCCAGATGGTCTCAGATCTTCAAGATGTGAAAATGCATTTAAAAGATAATTTTGGAAAAATACACTGAGACTTAAAATACAGGAAAAAAGTGGGGTTGTGATATTAGAGTTCTAAAAGTTTTCTGTATCTGTTATGCACTTCTACTAATAGGTTTCACTGTGGATGCCAAAGAACATACCTATAGCGACTAGTTAGGAATAGTGAAAAAATAGAAAAGGTGATTCCAAGGTTCTGAGCTTTCCTGGGATTCATATTTTTCTCAAGTAGTTCTCTATAACTGATGGATTGATGCAGTTTAAAAATACTGTTTATTTTTTTACTTGCTATTTCTATAACCATACAAATACAGTGAAGAGTGCTCTCAGATAACTTTTTTACTCATCAGAATGACTTCCTGAACACATCTGTGTAGGAGGTAAAAAAATGTTTGGATACTCTCAAAACTGATTAATTACTTCATAAATAAAAATATAGACTTCTAGTATAACTAGAAATATAAATAGAGTAGACCATGTTATGCTTTCCTCTTAAATACACTGACTGCTTGTTAATCTAGATAAACCATTTAGAGTGCTTCATTTTCACCCAGTTTTAGTAATCATACATAAATTTATTCATGTGCATAATTGCACTACTGTAGCTTTTTTCTTAATAATTAGCTACACCATCTATGTTTCCAATGTCATTACATCTGAATCAACATCTCAATCATTCTGTACTTTTTACAGTAGCACTTTGATTCTCAATCAGGATAAATGCAAACAGTACAATTACAGTAACTGCAGTGTTTTTTCCAACACATTTTTGAGGTATTGTTTTAAGGTGGTGTTTTAAAGGACTTGTAATACTTTCTTGGAGAATCTCTAGAACTTAGTTTGGACTAAGTGTACAGAAAAGTTGATGGACTTTACTGTATCCAGTTTTTTAGTTTCTTCTATTTTATTCATCTTTACCTATGCAGAGATCCCCCTCTAACTGTTTATTTTGCTACTTCCTGTCCTTTCTCTACTCCTTAAGTGCTAAATGTGTATTATATACAAGTATAACCTCCCCAGTAAGTTTTAATCAGTTTTTCTTCTCTGCACAGTCCCTTCAGTCTGAACATGTTCAGTACTAAAGCCTTGCTGTTCTGGTGAAACCTGTTGAGCTCTTAAAATCGAAGTCCTTCATGAAGGAGAGGAACTTAATGAAGGAAGCTGCTAAATCAGAGGAGGAATCTTCAATACAAGGAATATTAAAATCTTAATACCAAGAGGAGACTTCTTAACAAGCAGAAATTTCTTGTTAATGACTACTACAGATGCACTGATGTTGAATATATGGAAATTATTTTACCCCATGTTATATAGATTTACATTTTAAATGTTGAGACAGCTTGCATATATTTCTAATGAGTTTCATGAAGACATTTATTAAGTTGTGTACAGTGTTAAAATATGTATTAAGAGAATATTTTGGTAAGCAATATAAAGTTATGTAAAAATTAGAATTTATTTTAGTGTTCACTTTGCTACAAAAAAAGTGTATTTAAAGAATTTTTACATGTTTATCAAACACAAATTTTGTTTATAAACAAGATGCTTTTCTTGTTTTATGGGTCCATAATTTTTGCTAAAAGCTTAATGTAATTACTTTTTCACTGATTGGTCTTCTGGTAACTTAATGGAAGTCTAACTAGTGAGAGGCTAGTTACCACACTTTCCACTGAAAGCACTTGATACATAATCTGCTTTCTACTTTCAGCTGCTAATGTTTCATAAAGAAACACTGTGAAAGAAAAATAAAGGGAAGATATTTGGTGAGATGTAACTTGCATCTTCCATTGCAAAGAGAAAGTAATATATCTGATGATTGAATTGAACAATTAATGCTTTCATTCAGTTTGTCTTAAAGGAATGTTTTAACTTTTTTATTTTCATTGTAGAATGTTAAATTTTGCTATGCAATATATACTGCTAAAACAAAGGCAGAACAAGCTAAAATTGGTAAGAATATGTATGTACAGTGAATTTGGCAGAGCTGCATACTTAGGTGTTAACCTACATTTGGCAATGTGTACAGTTTCCCTAGCAAAGCATTCTGAAATAAGTGTTGGAAGTTGGATACTTCATAAACTATTTAATATGGAAAGTCTTGTTAAATGTACACCTAATGTTACTTCTGTATCACAGGACGTTTTTTGTCAGTGGTAAAGATGCTTTTTAGCATATAGTTTAATGGGGTGTGATTAGGAATGTGACTTCGAATGAAGTGGTGTTAAAATGAAGCACTAGAAATCACGTGTGAAGCTTTCAGAGCTCCACAAGTGCATAGTAAGCAAAAAAATGTAAGTGGCTGTGAGGACTTGATTTGTGGCTGTAAGGACTTGATTTGCTGCTGATGGAAAAGACAAAAAGAAAATAAAATACCTACCTATTAGTGTTCCCAGTATCAGCAGAAACTTGAAAATAAAACTTTGTTAATTGTCAGTCTTTGTTCCTAAAGACTTGTGAATGCTCTGCATTTGCTTTACAACTGAAGTTAAGACAAAGTGCCACATTATTTAAAAAATATATAATCAGGTGACAAATTGCTATGGAAAGTTGTACTGAAAGTGTTAATAAGCAATACTGAGAGCAGCTATATAAATGAATAAAATTACATTCAATACTGTACTTTTTTCACAACTGTGTATATGTAACATATACACACACAAAGTAGCATATGTGTGCATATATATACAATATACTGTATATGAAATGTAGATTGTAAGGTATTTCTACCTCTTATAAAGAATTTTGTTATGTACTTGGCTATAAATAGTTTTTCTTAATAAAATAGTTTAATTTTGAATTGTAGGTATGTATAAATACATACAGCTAATTGATAATAAAATGCTTATATCAGCCAGCTTCCTTGTTTCTTGACTTACTTTGGTTTTTTTATGTAAACTACTATGACAAGTTCTCTAATTGAAGAGTAGTTCTTCAAAATCAGCCTCTTTCTTCTAAGTGTGTTGCAAAAAGACATTAGTACCAAAGGTATTTTTTATAACAGATCTCCCTAGCTAGCCTTCTTGTATTTGCTTTGTAGAACATAAAGTATTTAATAAACATGTTGACATGATGTAAAGGTTGTATTTAAAAACAAACAATTTAAAAGCTGAGTCTGAGTGGAAGGAACTTTTTTTTTTTTCTTGGACCAGGACCCTTGTTAAATGTGTAATACACCTTGTCTCTTTCTATGAAAACAGGCTTCTTAGTCTCAACAATAGCAGGGTCTTTGTCCATAAAGACCTAAAAGATCATGCTTCCATTTAGCTTTTTATCTTTCCTTTAATTAAAAACTAGTCACCAATGATTCTAACCTTGTTTAACTCTGCTGAAAATTTTCAGCAAATTTGTGGTGTTTCATGATTGATTATCCACAGGGCTTTATATTCCTGTCAGGTAAGTCTGTACTGCAGTAGATGATGTGTATGGTTACACAGCCACTCTACAGGAACAGCAAAGCCAGGAATAAAGCAGATGCTTTAGAAGTTGCCTAAATTCCAGTGATGGTCTAATATAAAACCACAATAAAAGACTTCTGCCACTACAATTGATAGATGTTTATTTGTAAAGTAAACAAAAGGAGGAACAGCTAATTTAAAAGTTTCTAGTACATAGGTATCGGTCTCTCCTTTTTCTAATTTACCTTCTAGTTATTATGTGAAACTCAGTAAATGCCAGCTAATGTACAACATAATTTTTGTTCTTAAAAATGAATGAAAAGTATAGCCAGTATTCTGCAATAATCAGCTTCTTAATATAAAATTTTGGGACAGTGAAAGGTCAAGGAAGGTCTTTAGAACCTTGTAGCTTACAAAACAAATTTCAAGGTGTTTCTTGAATAAGGTAGCAAGAGATACCTGGTAAAATGTTCACTTATCCTTGAACTTTTACTGTTTCTGTTGCTTCATAGATAAATATATCTCCCTGTTCTGGGAGAACAAGCTGTAGGACATTAGATCTTTAGAAAGAGGTTTGAGAAACATAGGATGGGTTAAATAAATATAAAGGTCCCTACTGGGGACCTGATTTCTGTGGCTAATGCCTTATGAAACTTAATCATCTCTGAAGTATTATTTTTGAAACTTTTTGCTTAGGGAGATATTTCTTGTTACAGATTTAGAGAATATTTTTCAATTACAGTGCTGCAGAAAGAGGAGGATTTTAGTTTCTATAATAACTACTGACAGCTAAACAATGAAAGGCCTCAAAAGGTTTGACACTTGATTAGATCTACGCTCTAAAGTGCAGCAGGCAAAAAATATGGTAATTAAGGGCCTGATCATTTAAATCACTCAGGTTATTTCTTTAACCTTAAGCACATAAGCAATCTAATTCAAAAACAGGTATTCATAACATCCACATTTGTATCAATAGTCGTGTTAACTGCAGACAAGCCTTTCTTTCAAATAAGTAGATGTTCTGTGATACAAAATAATCCATTGACCCCCACAAATGAATTCCTTTATCTTAAATAATATTTAACTAGAATTATGTACCAATATATTATTTTAAGTCATTTTTAACACTGTGAGTTTAACAATATCTGAAAATACTGTCTAAAGATATCTTTAGTCAAAATACATGTCATACTTCATTAGCTGAAATGTCTTACTCTTGTAGCCCACTTATAACTCTCCTGTAAGAGCAGCTTTATCCTAAACTCACCACAAAATTAAACAGTATTCCTTCTCTGGAATGCTTTTGAAAGGAAATGTAAATTCTTTTACTCCATTTCTTATTAAATCTTGTCCAGGATAAGGACAGTTAACATTTTTTCCCTGTTTGAGTATAGCACTGTAGAGTTTGTGGGAGAATCCCACTACTAACTCTTCTCCATTTGGGAAGAGACTGTTAAACCCTGCTCTTCAACCAGCTTCTAGTCTAGTCATTCACTTCTGTGGGAATTTGTGCTCTGAACTTGGGTGTGAGACTTCCAAACACTACGCTGATTCTGCTTTATCTGTGTACTTACGGACACCAGCATTCATCTCTGGCAGGTTTGATGATGCAGAATTTCCTGCAGGCTTAGGCTGAGTTTGATGAAGTAATATAGAGTATGTAGATTGAGGACCAGTTCAATCAGGTAAAAAGCACTGTCTTACCAAGGATCCCATGTATCTATCTTGTTTAAAAGATACAATTTGGAAAGGATGTTGTTTTAGACCAGTTCTAAAGTTAACTTCAAGCTTGCAGAAGCATAGTTTGCTTTCACTCAAAAAAAAATATTTAAAAAATCAGGGAAAAAAAGTGTGAGTAAGTAGCAGAGGAGTTTCTACAGTAAATGGATTGTACTTCAGACAGAAGTGACTGATACTGGTTTGAAAGCTTGCTGCTAATGGCAGTTGTGTAAATGGGTTAGAACCACGAAACTGGTAAGGCAAAGGGAAGAGTCAGACTGTAGTTGCAGTATTTCTGGATGATGGGGTTTTGTGTTTTTTTTTTTTCTTCTTGATTTAACAAGTTGAAAATCTGCTGAATAATTCATGAAGAGTGGAAGGGCTGAATCTTCCTGGAATGATATACAGTGTACGTACTGTGGCACAGGAGAAACTGCAAAGCTTTGTATCAGTGCTGCCGTTTCTGCTGCTGATAGCAAGGTGCTGCTGCTTTTGGCGTTTTCACAGCTACAGAATCCTCAGTTGTGCTCTGGTCTGCTAACATCTATCTGCTCCCTATGGACCCACCTTCACTAGCTATATCTGTGGGACCTCTTACTACCTACCTGTCTTGGACATTGCTGTTCTCTGGATCATCACTGCCAAGTCTATTTTCTGGACCTTGCAACTTGTAGGACTGAAACCTGTCGTAGAGAACCTCAGCTACAAATCCTCCCTTGTGCTTGGTGGGGCACTTATGCAGCAGGATCTTCTGACCCAGACAAGGATGGGATTTACAGGGAGAAGTCAAAACTGAGCTGTATTTAGCGAGATGCCCAACGCCTCTTCCTGGAGTGCTAGCTCGCCTCTGCTGCTGCTCTGGCAGGACTCCTCTGGGACCCACATCTTCCTCTCGCTGCTCTATGCAGTCTTAGCTATCTCAGGGACATTATCCAATGTGATGGTCATCTATCTAGTCTTCTCCTTCAAGAAGCTGCAGACAACCAGCAATGCCTTCATCGTGAACGGCTGCGCGGCGGACCTCAGCGTCTGTGCCCTGTGGATGCCCCAGGAGGCTGTGCTGGGGCTGCTGCCTCCCAACTCCTCCTCCCTGCGCTCAGTGGAGTATCGGCTGCTCCGAGGGGGGCTCCTCAGCCTCGGCCTCACCGTCTCCCTGGCCTCTCACCTGCTGGTGGCTTTCAACAGGTACGTGCTCATCACCAAGCTGCCCAGCGTCTACCAGGCCCTCTACCAGCGGAGACACACGGGCTGCATGATCGGGCTGTCCTGGGCCCTGGCCCTGCTCCTGGTCCCGCTGCTGCCCGGGCTCTGGACGCCGGGCTCTGCCCAGCAGCCGCCCCCGCGCCAGACGGACGGCAGCGCTCGCTACACCGCCCTGCTCGTCGCCCTGGCCGTGCTGGGCCAGACCGCGCTGCTGCTCCACT